AAACAGTCCTGCAGTTCCTGCTTTGCTGCGTTAGTCCACTTCTTCACAGTTTTGACTACAGGCTTCGCACGTTTGAGTTTTTGCCTATAAACTGGAATAAGATGGACCATGCAGTGATCAGAATGTCCCAAAGCTGCCCGGGGCACAGAGCGATAGGCATCTTTTAGAGTGGTGTAGCAGTGATCCAGTATGATGTTGTCCCTGGTGGGGCAGTCTATATGCTGTCTGTATTTAGGGAGTTCGTAGTTTAGGTTTGCTCTGTTAAAATCCCCAAGAATAATTGTAAAGGAATCCAGGAATGTCCTCTCCAGGGTAGTAATCTGGTCAGCCAGCTCGCACAGTGCGTTGTTCGCGTTGGCCTGAGGAGGGATGTAAACTCCAACCACCATGAAGGAAGAAAACTCCCGCGGTGAATAAAAAGGTTTACAGTTGATGAAAAAACTTTCCAAGTGTGGGCTGCAGTGTTTCTGTAACACTGTGACATCAGTACACCAACCTTCATTAATGTAGAAGCAGACTCCACCACCCTTTGTTTTCCCTGACAGCTCCATTTCACAGTCCGCCCAGTGAAGCCCGGCAGATTTAAGACAGCGTCTGGGACTCGCTCACTGAGCCAGGTTTCAGTGAAGCAGAGGGCAGCAGAGCGTGCAAAGTCCTTGTTAGTCCAGTTTAAGAGAAGTAATTCATTGACTTTGTTTGGAAGGGAGCGGAGATTTGGGAGGTGAATGGAGGAGAGTCCCGTGCGGAATCCTCGCCGACATAGTTTCACCAGCGCACCAGCGTGAGTCCCCCGTCTACGTCTCCTCCAGGAGCCACAGAGAGCTGCTGCGCCTCCAACTAAAATCTCCAAAAAACTTTCCGGGTTTGTGAAAAATGAGAACTATTGTGAGACGACTGCCTGATGTTTAGCAGTTGATCTCTGGGGAAAGTGATGTAGTCCGAGTGATCAAAAGTGCAGAAAATAAACAAAAACAAGAAAAGTGCGAGAGAGCGCAGTACCGAGGCTGCCATCTGCAGCGCCATCTTGAAAGTGCACAGGTGTGTGAGTAATCAGAAGCTGTGTTTCTATGGATGCTTCATGCATGTGTCAGTGGGGCCCAGTTTATCAGTGTTTATTATGAATGTATTTGGGACTGACGTGGTCAGTGAAGGTATTCTGATGTCACCGCCAGCAACTGAAGGACTTAAAGCTAAAATATCTTTATGTTACACCTGTGCACACAGAGGTGTAACACACACACAGACATGTACACACACCTGTGCACACAGAGGTGTAATACACACACACACCTGTGCACTGACCTGACCTCCGCTCTCTGTCTGTGTCAGAGGGGTGTGGCAGAGATCAGGGAGATCCGTCAGTTTCATTTCACCGGTTGGCCTGATCACGGCGTCCCGCTTCACGCCACCGGGCTGCTCGGCTTCATCCGCCGCGTCAAGGCCAAAACCCCACCCACCGCCGGTCCCACTGTGGTCCACTGCAGGTACGACTTTTACTGTCATTACTAGTAACAAAGAAACTTCATCACTGCTGACGTGACTGTGTGTGTGTGTGTGTGTGTGTGTGTGTGTGTGTGTGTGTGTGTGTGTGTGTGTGTGTGTGTGTCAGTGCGGGGGCGGGACGTACAGGATGCTTCATCGTGATCGACATCATGCTGGACATGGCGGAGAGAGAGGGCGTGGTTGACATTTACAATTGTGTCCGCGAGTTGAGAGCACGAAGGGTTAACATGGTCCAGACTGAGGTACACACACACTCACTCACTCACTCACAAACACACACACACACACACACACACACACACACACACACACACACACACACACACACAC